CTTGGTAGCCCAGGCTGGCCTCGAACTCACAGAGATCCGCCTGGCTCTGCCTCCCGAGTGCTGGGATTAAAGGCGTGCGCCACCACCGCCCGGCCAGTGTATCTAGTTTTATATTGAGGTTGTTGATACTTTTGGAGTTGTGCTTTTTTTTTTTGCAGGGTGATAAGTATAGATCTATGTCGATTGTTCTCACACAGCCAAACAGTTTGACCAGCACCATTTTTTGAACATGCTGTCTTTTTTCCCTAGTGTGTATTTCTGACTTCTTTATAAAAAAAATCAGGTGTCCATAGGTATGTGGATTTATGTCTTGATCTTCAGTTCAATTCTGTTGATTGAATGTCTGTTTTTGTGCCAATGCCATGTGATTTTTTATTACTATAGCTCTATAGTATAAGTTGAAATCAGGGGTGGTGAGACCTCTAGCAGTTCTTTATTATTCAGAATTGTTTATAGCTATCTTGGGGTTTTTTCTGTGTGTTTCCATATGAAGTTGAAAATTATTCCTTCAAGATCTGTGAAGAATTGTGTTGGAATTTTGATGGGGATTACATTGAATCTGTAGATTGCTTTTGGTAGGATGACCATTTTTACTGTGCTAATCCTATCAATCCATGAGCATGGAAGATCTTTTCATCTTCTGACATTTTCTTACATTTTTTTCTTCAATATATTAAAGTTTTTTTTTTTTTTAAATCATACAGGTTTTCACTTGCTTGGATAGTTAGCCCAAGATGTTTTATATTATTTGAGGCTATTGTGAAAAGTGTTGTTTTGCTGATTTCTTTCTCAGTCTGTCATTTGTGTACAGGAGGGGTACTGGTGTTTTGTATCCAGCTACATTGCTGAAAGTGTTTATCAGCTGTAGGAATTCCCTGCTGGGATTTTTAAAGTCACTTATGCATACTATCATATCATCTGCAAATAAAGATACGTTGACTTCTTCCTTTCCAATTTGTATCCCCTTGATCTCCTTCAGTTGTCTTATTGCTGTAGCTAGGACTTCAAATACTACATTGAATAGGTATGGAGAGAATGGACAGCCTTGTCTTGTTCTTGATTTTAGTGGAATTGCTTTGGGTTTCTCTCCATTTAAGTTGATGTTGGCTATGGACTTGCTGTACTTGTCTTTGCTATGTTGAAGTATGTCCCTTGTATCCCTAATTTCTCTAGGACTTTTATCATGAAGGGCTGTTGGATTTTGTCAAAGGCCTTTTCTCCATCTAATGAGATGATCATGTGGTTTTTGTCTTTCAGTTTGTTTATATGGTGGATTACATTTATCTATTTATATAGGTTGAATAATCCCTGTATCTCTGGGATGAAGCCTACTTGATCTTGGTGGATTATCTTTATGATGTGTTCTTGGATTTAGTTTGCAAGTATTTTATTGAATATTTTTGTATCTATGTTCATAAGAGAAATTGGTCCATAATTATCTTTCTTTATTGGATATTTATTTGGTTTGGATATCAGGGTAACTGTCACCTTATAAAACAAATTGGGCAATGTTCCCCCGTCTCTGTTTTGTGGAATAATTTGAGGAGCATTGACATTAACTCTTCTTTGGAAGTCTTGTAGAATTATCTGCTAAAACCATGTAGCCCTGTTTTTTTTTGTTTTTGTTTTTTTTTTTTGAGGGGGGAAGCATTTTTTTTTTTTTTTTTTTTTTTTTTGGTTTTTTCCAGACAGGGTTTCTCTGTGTAGCTTTGCGCCTTTCCTGGAACTCACTTGGTAGCCCAGGCTGGCCTCGAACTCACAAAGATCCACCTGGCTCTGCCTCCCGAGTGCTGGGATTAAAGGCGTGTGCCACCACCGTCCGGCTGAAGCATTTTTAATGACTGCTTCTATTTTACTAGGGTAATAGATCTGTTTAAATTGCTTATTTGATCTTGATTTAACTTTGGTAAGTCATATGTATCAAGAAAATTATACATTTCTTTTAGATTTTCCAAGTTGAAGGAGTACAGGTTTTTAGTATGTCCTTATGATTCTCTGGATTTTCTTGGTATCTGTTGTGTTGTTTGTACTTTCTTCTCTAGTTTTGTTAATTTGAATCTTCTCTCTCTGACTTGAAGTTAATTTGGATAAGGGTTTGTCAATCTTAGTGATTTTTCTCAAAGAACCAACTCTTTGTTTCATTGATTCTTTTTTAAATTTTCCTCTTTTATTGATTTTAGCCCTGAGTTTTATTATTTCTTGCTGTCTGGTCCTTTTAGGTGTGATGTCTTCTTTTTGTTCTACATCTTTCAGGTGTGCTAGTAAATCACTAGTATGAGATTCCTCCGGTGTTTTTCATGTGGTCACTTAGTGCTGTGAACTTGCCTCTATGAACCACCCTCATCTTGTCCCATGAGTTTGGGTATGTTGTGTTTTCATTTCAGCTCTACAAAGTCTTTAATTTTCCTTCTTAATTTTCATCTTGACCCATTTTCTATTCAGTATTGAGTTGTTCAGTTTCCATGAGTTTGCGAGTTTTCTGTTGTTTTGGATATCCAGCTTTAATCTGTAGTGGTCAGATGGAATGCAGAGTATTACTTCAATTTTCTCGTTTTTTTTTTTTTTTTTTTTTTTTTTTGTTTGTTTGTTTGTTTGTTTTTGTTTTTTTGGTTTTTGGTTTTTTGAGACAGGGTTTCTCTGTGTAGTTTTGTGCCTTTCCTGGAACTCACTTTGTAGACCAGGCTGGACTCGAACTCATAGAGATCCGCCTGCCTCTGCCTCCCAAGTGCTGGGATTAAAGGCGTGGGCCATCACCGCCCGGCCTTCAGTTTTCTTGCATCTGTTGTATGTGAGTATGTGGTCAGTTTTAGAGAAAGTTCCATGAGGTGCTGAATGAAGATGTAGCCTTTTGTGTTTGTGTGAAATGTTCTATAAATGTCTGTTAGGCCTTTTTGCTTTATGACATCAGTTAGCTCCAGCATTCCTTTGTTTAGTTTTTGCCTGGATGACCTGTTTATTG